AAGAGGGAGAGAGAGAGAGAGAGAAACATCAATGATGAGAGAGTTGTCATTGATTGGCTGCCCCCTGCACAGTCCTGACTGGGGATCGAGCCCGCAACCCAGGCATGTGCCCTGACTGGGAACTGAACCTTGATCTCCTGGATCCTAGATCAATGCTCAGCCTCTGAGCCACGCTCAGTGGGGCAGCATATACATTTTAAATTCATGCTCTTTTCTCACTAGATATTGTTACATAAAGTATTATATTATTATAAACTCTTTATCAGCATAATCTTAATGACTATATACATTCCACTAATGATATGCATTATAATTTGGATTATTTCCATATTTTAAAAATATTACTATAAATTGTTTACATTAGTATATATATGCATTAAGAATGACAAACTGTGTGACTTTGGAAATGAAAGAAAGTTAATTATAAATTACTTGAATTATAATTAAAAATTACATGTAATCATATAAAGGTGCCAAGGTAGATGATGTGCATCCAAATAACTGTAGTTTTTGTATTTGCTAATAGTAAAAAATAAAATGGCAAAGAGAGATCTTCAGAAGACCCATAAACATAAAATACTAGGAATGACTTTAATGAGAAATGTGAAGGAAAAGTGTAAAATTTTCTTAAAGATATTGTGAAATATTATATAAATAGAGTTATATAATGTATTCTTAGATGGAAGATTACAAAAGTATGTTTTCTTCAAATTAGTTGGCTTTGGCCCTGTGTCAATAAAAATCCAATGGGATTATTATTTTACTTCAGCATAATTTTTTTTCCCTAAAATTTACCTCCAAGAATAGCATGGGGGGAAAATTTTTGAAAAAATTTGAAAGTTTAAGATGTAGAAGTTCCATTATCAGAATTATATTTTGGTGAGACATTATAAATAATATATAGTATCCTGGCCCCTACATCTATTCAGTTGCTATGCTAATCCTTTCTGATACAAAAATTTTAGAGGTACTTCTAAATGTCAAGCTGTGGATAAAAACAGATTTGTCTCCACAATAGGGCAACAGAACCACCATGGGGAAAGATTGTTTCCTAAAATCTATGAGCTTTGTTTGTAGGGGACAAATTTGGTTTAAAAGACTTCTTTAGTAGATTTCAAGATGGCAATGGATTAAGTGGAAGCTACACTAACACTCTCCCAGGACAAAACTAGAATTATAACTAAAATATAGAAAAAACATCCTGAATGATCAACTGACTACTAGCTGGAGAGCATCCTCATAACCCAGGAAGTAAAGTGGAGACTGCAAAGAGCCTAGTAGAAAATGCGGAGGTGCAAGAGGGCCAGCTGGGCTCCCACAGGCAGCAGCCAAAGGTCCAGAAGAATATCTCAGCTGTGGGGGGTTCCCACTGAGAACCCTGGGGCCTAAGCCCCAAGCTGGGCTCCTCAGCCCAGAGCACCAGAACTGAGAAAGGTGCCCACATAACATCTGGCTGTGAAAAGCAGCCGGGTTTCTGTCTGCCAGAGAGAGACGGCTGGAACTGCAGGCACCCTCTTAAAGGGCCAACACACAAAACTTTGTGTGCAGCCACTCACCTTGGGCTCTGATAGATGGAGGGCAGAGTGGACTAGAGTTGAGTGAGAAAAATCCAGGGGTGCTGACTCTGGGGATAAAGCTGAGAGGACATCCATCTGGATTCCTGTGCTGAGTCATTCCCCCATATGGCAGAGGACATATTTCTCATGCAGACCTTTACCATCTAGGCAGCTGTTTCCCTGGGGAGGAAGCAATAGCCCCACCCTATTAGAAAACCTCTTGCCCCACCCTATGGAGTTTATGCCTTGCTGTGGTGTACAGCCTGAGGCTCATCAACAGACTGAGATTAGCAATCAACCTGCTGGCAAAGGTCGATCTCCAGGTGCTTTAAGACTTTGCCTGATCTCCTTCTGGTCCCAGGGCTTGGAAAAGCACACTTTGGTGTACATCTTGGTCCTTTCCAAACACACCCAGCCCCAGCTGAGGGAACCACAAACTGGAGTGCTAATAGATCCAAAGAGGGTATTCAAAGCCAGTCACAAAGAGCATCTGACATTGACCTGCACCAGAAACCATCCTAAAAGACTGGGAGTCCTAGCAGATCTACCTAATACATAGAAACAAATATAAACAGGGAGCCAAAATGGGGAGACAAAAAAGAAGCCCCAAATAAAAGAACAAGAGAAGTCTCCAGAAGAAGAGATAAATGAAATTGAGATAAGCAATCTATCAGATATAGAGTTCAGAACACTGATCATAAGGATGTTCAACAGCCTGAGAAAATATATGGAAACTATGAAGGAAATTAAGAATGACACAGCAGAAATAAAAAACACATTGGAAGGGATAAACAGCAGTTAGTGGAAGCTGAGGGTCAGATCATCGAATTAGAAGACAGTGTAGAAAAAAATCAATAAGAGAACAAAAATGGAAAAAAAACAACACAATTAAAAAACAGGAGAACAGTTTAAGGGAGCTGTGGGACAATACGAAATGTAACAACATTCGCATTATAGGAAGGCCAGAAGATCTAGAAAGTAAGCAAGTGTTAGAGAACCTGTTTGAAGAAATAATGGCAGAAAGCTTCCCTATACTGGTCAAGGAAATAGTCGCACAAGTTTAGGAGGCACAGAGAGTCCCAAGCAAGAAGAACCCAAAAAGCCCCACGCCCAGAAACATCATAATTAAAATGCCAAAAATTCAAGACAAAGAATCTTAAAGGCAGCAAGAGAAAAGCAAGCTGTTTCCTACAAAGGAGCTCCAATAAAGCTGTTAGCTGACTTCTCATCAGAAACTCTACAGGTCAGAAGGGAATGGCATGAAGTTTTCAAGGTAATGCAAAACAAGGATCTGAAACCAAGGCCACTCTATTGAGCAAGGCTATCATTCAAAATAGATGGTGAAATAAAGAGCTTCCCAGAAAAAACAACAAAAATGGTTAAAGGAGTTTATGACCAACAAACTAGCATTACAAGAAATGTTAAAGGACTGCTGTAATAAGAAGTAGAATGCTTGGTGAAGCTTCCCTTTGAAGCCACCCAGACCAGGGCTTTTGTTTGCTGGAAGGTTTTTTTTTATTACTACTTCATCAGTTCTTGTTGGCCTATTCAGGTTTTCTGATTCTTCCAGATTCAGTTTTACAAGATCTCACTCATATGTGGAATCTAATGAATGAATAAACTGATGAACAAAATAGATCCAGAGACACAGAAACATGGAATGGACTGAAGAATCTCAGAGGGAAGGCACGGGTGAGGAGAAATTAATCAAAGGACATATATGCATATATGCATAACCCATGGACACAGACAATAGTGTGATGAAGGCCTAGGGGGTGGGGAGGTGGACGGGTACTGGGTGGAGGGGATCAATGGGGGGGTAAAGGGACATCTGTAACACTTCCAACAATAAATATAAATTAAAATAAAAAGACTTCTTTACACNGCGGGGCGGGACCACCGCCGCCCGAACCCGGTGGAGACCACGGAAGGGAAGACAAGCACGGGCGCCGCGGCACACCCTCCGCCTGCACTTGGAGGCGGAGCGCGACCCTCCTGACGGCGGGCGCGGCGCCCCTGCAGCCGCTTCGCAGGCCCTGGACCCGGGCCACGTGGACTTGTAGGAGCTGCTCAGGGCTCCTGAGCCAGGCGGGCACCTCTGCCACTGCGGAGGACACCCCGAGGCCCAAGGAGCCCAAGGCCAGCGAGGAGAGCGAGGCGCTGGGAGGGCGCAGGGAGGGCGGACCCAGCTGGCCCCCGTGTGGGCGCGGAGCACCCTCTTCGGCGTCCGGCGCAGCCACTGCCCGCTCCCAGGCCCGGCTTCGCGCTCAACTCTTCGGTAACTTATTCTACCTCCACCTTAGTTAAGGAACGTTCCTCTTCATCAGCAGCAAAACCAATGCACAACNGGGGGGGGAGGAAGCATGGGCATTATTTGGAAAAACAATTTAAAGCATTAATGTGTTTTTTTATACTCTGCCTTGTTCCAAAGTTGATTTGGCAATGAGTTTACTGCCTGGGCAAGTCCAGAGGGTAGCTCTATTATGAAACTAGTTAAGTGTAGACCAGCTGCTGTCATAGTCTTTGGAACTGGGACTAGGGCTGGCATCTGCTTTAGAAAACCAGGAGTCTGAGCCGGGCATCTCCAGAAGACAGAGGCTCTTCCACCCGCCATGTGGAGGTGACCTGAGGAAACACTGGCAGTGGACTGAGAAAGGTTTTAGATTTCCTACAGCATTTAGACCAGTGGAACCGGAACAGCAGAGAAGAGTGAAGGGACCAGGAAGGCAAAAAGAAATTACCGCTCTATGGCCCTCTGCCCAC